GCCTATGAGCATGAGATGAAGACTGGAGCCCGAACGATTGGCTGAACAGCATTTTACCCCTTATGACATTACAAAGGGCATGAGTTTCAAAAATAGCATTTTGAGCACACATAGCTAAGAAGTAGAAAAAGGCAAAGATAGAGGTGAGAGTTTTTTTTTTTCATCTGTGAACCTTATACACAGGCTTTAGGACACGTTACAAAAATGTTTAGAATGTGAATTCTGCATAATATGGGACCTTAAAATTCAATTGAAGCAAGTGGGACATACTTAACCTATACATTCAATAAAACCTTTGAATAAAAAGTGCGCTTCACCCATAGAAGGAGCTCAGGAATACAGAAAACAGGTCTAGTGAAATACCAATCTTCTTTTAAGCTTGTTAGAGGAAAAACCACACATGAACATTTACAACAGGGCTTCTTTATGCTGAGACATACATACTCTGCCATGAATACCTGAGCTCAGGCCGTCTGGAATATACATTTGCAGCCAGTATGAGAGAAAAATGAAAATGGCATTGGAGCTTAAATATCGTGGTGTTCCAGAGGTACAGTCTCTTAAAAGCTGCTTTAACAATGAATGCATGAAGAAGGGAAATATGAAGTCTTCCAGGGAAACTGACCTTGATCCAGTGCTGTAGACTTTGGACCGTTTAAACTTTGCATTTAGAGCATCGGGTTTGTGAGTACATGGAGACATCCACGGAGGCTGAAGACAAATTAGGGAATTAGCCCTTTTGTTTGAACGCTTAATGAAATATTATGTGATGCTTAAAAAAATATGAGGAGGCAGGCAGCTCTACTAAATGCTGCAAACAGACTGTACAACAACATTCACTTCACACCTCTGTGGCACAGGCCATTATGTAAAAATGGGAGACTAAGAGGAAAAGACAGGGTGATGTTGGAGAAGTCAAAAAAATAAGCAAGAGGAAAAATACACTCACCGCAATGCTGTGTGAATAATAGACGGGACAAAAAAATAAGGCTATTAAGATCTGAAGAAGAAAACAGAATGTGACAATGATTAGCTATAATTTCAGAAAGCGGTGCCCTCACAGTAGTCGATGAATGGCAGGCTTGATTTCATGAGTGATTACACCGTACATCACTCACTTTTAGAAAGGAGACGTAGAGAAAGAATAAATGAGATCAAGACAAAGCAGGGGGGACGTGGGGTTGAAGGAGAAATGATACTGTTTGAGCAAATTAGAGAGTGCAAAGGACATAGGCTGATCCAAAGCAGCCAAGTAACTAAACAGAGAGCTGCTCTTTGCCAGGATTGTTGGGTTTTACTTCACTGCTACTGTTGTCTCATTTCCGATTATTCTTTTTTATTAGATACATCATGGTGTATTAATAGCTAAATGTAAATAAGAAATTTTTGCAAGACTTGAAAGTTTACCCCTGTTTCTGCCTAATCTCTAAAACTTCCAGCAAATTTTACAGTTTGATTATGTCATCCTTATTAACACATTTATGACAGCAATAAATGTTTCAGGCTAAGGCAGTACTCAGGAGTATTAAACACTCCATCAAACCCTAAGGTAGACTGGGACACCTTCAGCTTTACTCTCTACAACTTAGGAGGAAGTGTCAACGAGGAGGCACAATATTGAAACCTCTGTCTATAAAGGCTATAGCTGCTCCCAACTTTTTCTTAACTGGTTGAAAGGGCCACGCTCCGACTGATGGTTCAAACGTTTCTGTGTTAGGAACACCCAAGACCACTGTGAACACTGGAATAAAGTAAATGGTGGCAAAAACACATCAGTGAAACCACCATGTTAAAATATTAAATAAATTATTAACGCACACACAAAACTCTTTCATTCAATTGTCCACACCGTGTGCGCCTCCAACCGGAAGGTAAGGAGTTGCTAGAAGTCAATTTCTTCATATTTCACATTCCTTTGTCTTAGCATACCGCTTGCAAAATAACTCAAATTTTTCTATCGAGTGCATCACGTGAACAACTGAAGACCTAAATGCTAACATGGCCAGATGGCCTCATTAATTAAAAATTTTTTTCTGAAAGTATGCACATAATAACCAAAACTATACAAAATATAAAATGGTTATTAAAAGTAAAATGAAAAAATTTACACACCCACAAAAAATGCTTATGTTACTGCTTACACTACAAAGGCTGTGGTTTTTTGGAAGAAGGTGTGAGTTAAAGGGTGAACGGTGCGCCAGCTGCCACTCACATGCTAGGATGCATTCATTACCTGCTTTAACAGAGTGGTGTTTATGCGCTGCCATACTGCCAAAGTGGATAATATGTCAGGATCCAACCTGCACAAACACAATTTGATCCAACTCTGCTAGTCCTGCTACCATCATTTGACAATGATAGGCTATAACCACATCATTACCTTGAAAACTATGGGACACATTCATTCTTTCCCTGTGGGGAAACAGTGGATGAAGGGGAAGATGATAACAGAGCAGTGCTACTACATGTGTGTATGTTTATATCCATCCATTTTCCGTCACGCTTATCCCAAGCAGGGTCGCAAGGGGTGCTGGTTCCTATCTCCAGCTGCTTACGGGCGAGAGGCGGGGTACAGCCTGTACAGGTCACCAGTCCATCGCAGGGCAACACAGAGACAAACAGGACAACCATTCAATCACATACTCACACCTAAGGAAAATTCTGAGAAGCCAATTAACCTAAAAGTCATGTATTTGGACTGTGGGAGGAAGCCAGAGTACCCAGAGAGAACCCATACATGCTCAGGGAGAACATGCAAACTCCATGCAGAAAGACCCCTTATATCCCACTTCCAGCTATTTGATCAAACTAAAATTTTCCATGTGCAAATATTTATATCTCTGTAGATTGAGTGGCAAATTAAACCTCTGAACTAATTGCGGTTTTTGATTCACAGGTGTTTGAACTGAGTCAAGTCTGAAATGGAGCCTGTTGAGTGTCGAGCAATGATCCAGTTTTTGTATTTGAAAGGACGCATACTACTGGAGACTTTCTATGAACTGAAAGTAACTTGGTGATGGTTATAAAGCCCCATTGTATGACCATGTAATAACCATAAGTTACTTTTATTTGATCACAATTCTCCGGTGGTGTGCGTATTACTGCTTGACACTCAACAGACTCCATTTCAGACTTGGCTAAGTTCAAACACCTGTAAATCAGAAACCACAATTAGTTCAGAGCTGTAAAAAACAGCTTAATCTATAGAGTAACTGTAGGCACTTAATAAAAGGCTTAATCTATAGAGATATGAACAATTGCACATGCAAAATGTATATACTGTATATAAGAAAGTTGGGGTCAGGTTTGTTCTGTGTCTCCTTTTGATTTTTGTGTTTGTAAATAGCAAATGTCGAGACTTTGGTTCCTTGTAAGTTTTCTGGCTGTTCTGAAATGAATGTCCTTGGTGGCATCTAAGCGTCAAATAAGGTCCTCAGGGAAAAATAAATGATTACCATGTATTGTATTTACCACAGGGAAAATAACATTGAAAGAAAGATCCTTTGTAAAACCTTTGCCTGACAAAACAGACCGTCTGACTGGCCAAGGTAGAATTCACAGCTTTTGCAGATTTATTGTTCGTTAGAAGAAAAAAACCATTAACACCAGTCTGACCATTGTCTTTGTCACTGCTACAAAACAGGATTCCCATAGCCTAATGCTGTCACCACCATGGTTTACTTAGAAGATGATGTGGTTAGTTTGTTTAGATTAGAATAGAACAAAATAGAATAGAATAGAAAATCCCTTTATTGTCCAACAAGAGCAAATTGTGGCGTTACCACAGCAAAAGATAAAGGTGGTCACACAAATTTGGACCTTAAAAGGTGTATAAAATTACACTAAAAAATAAACAAATAAAATACTATACTGTACAGTGTTTTTAAAATATAACTTTTGTGCATCTGGATAATGAATAATCAATATATACAGTCATGGATATTTTACAGTATTGGATATGTGAAAATAGCAGCAAACACCAGAGATGTGCAAAAATGACAGCAGCATGTTATTTAACTAACTATTTAATCCTAAAATGGAAACTGCAAAAATCAGCAGGAATATGAAAATTTAGTAAGTTTGTTGGGAACAGTGATGTTTATAAAGTCTTTCAGCTGCTGGGAGGAAGGATCTGGGATTATTTGTAAAATAAATACAGAGTTCTAAGCCATGAAGTTTGAGGTAATAATGTTAATTATTAAGAAACTGTAACAATAATAATAATGCATATTACTTCAAATAAACTTCACATATAAGTTTCTCAAAGTGGTACAATTAAAAGTAAAGATTAATAAAAGATATAAGTAAAAATTTAAATATCAAAAATAAAACTTTGAAAAGCTGACTATTTCAGCTCCCTACTCCAATCTGACAGACATTCTTTGAAGAAACCATGGTCAGATCTACAAGAAGGTGTAAATCAGCTTTGCACATACTAACATGTTTGCACTGGTTTCAAACTCCTAAACCTTTGGATAAGGCTTCTTAATGTGTTTCATTGGACCAGATTTAATTAAGGAGTGTCAGACTAAAAAAGGTTTTGCAGACTTTTTCCTTTACCTTTGCCTGTTTTCATCACCATTTATTGTCTCCCTTTCACTTTACTGTTATGTGCTTCTTTGTGTTGATCTATCCCATTAAATCCCAGGAAAACAGGCTCAAGTTTGTTTTTGTTTTACATGACAGAAATTGATGAAGCATACTTTTACAAATAAGTTCTTATTTTAATAAATGTTCATTTGTATTTACATGTTGATCAATGCTCGAAATTAATTAAGAATGTGTTTTAAAATCATTATGCAATGATAGAATATCATGCATTTTTATAGTATATTAAATATTCAGAAATATGCTTCATGGTTTAAACCACTCACTTGTTCCTGAGGCCTTCTGGAGTCGGACATGCTCTGCAATCATCTTTGCCCTACCTTCCTGCTCTGCCTCATGCTGTATGATGCACAACCTTGTTTTCTGATTGGTCCTATGTCTCTGGTTTCCAGGACGACCACTCGATGTTTTTCCAGTTTGGCCCCTCCATCGAGCAGCAGGCGTCCGTCATGTTAAACATCATGGAGGAGTATGACTGGTACATCTTCTCTATCGTCACCACATACTACCCCGGCTACCAGGACTTTATCAACAAGGTAAACACCAAAAAAGAGGCATTGACAGTGTGATCCTATAGTAGTAGTTGCTTTCTTTTCTTTCACAATCCTGGTGAATCACTTATCCATCCTTATATTTTCCCTGTTGCAATTTATTCTGTCAGGACTGTATTCAAGCTGCTGAAATGGTCCTAAACTCATCTGTCTCCAGTCACACATCCTTTGGTTCTAAATTCCTAAATATCAGCATTTCAAAATGTTTAAGCTTGGCAGAGTTTGCTTCAAGTGAATCGCTCTTTGCATTTTCTCATTGCTTTAATGGAGGAGGCCGAGTGGACGGACTTGTCCTTCTGGATGCAGCGACAGCCTGCTTATCTCAGGGAACAGACCCTATAAAATAAAAGGCCAAAGTGACCTCCTGAATAACTTCAGACATACCTCTGAGAAACAGCAGAAGGTTACTGAAAGTCATCAAATCACACCTTAAAGGAATATTGCAGAAGCTCAGTAATCTTTGCTTTAAAGAACCCAATTCAAAGTAGAAAAGGAAATAGTCATATAAAAGAGAATAATAAGCGCTCATTAACCTCTGTGTCTTCTTAATGATCTGGTTTATTTTGTCTCATCTGACTCATCCAGATCCATGCAAAGGTTTGGACACCAGGCCAGCATTTCTCTGCAGATGTGCATAAGTAAAACATAGTTTCTTAAATGATTGGGAACCTTTACTGTTCAAAATGTACAGTTAATAAAATTAGATAAACAAACCCTTTTGTTAATCTAATAGGAATGTGCTGCTATAAAGTCTTTATGGTATGAGCAGAGGGTAAAAATATTTAACATAACTATCACAAAAATCAAAGCAATGCTCTAGTTTCTTTACCTTAAATAGAAAAGTAATAATGATTCCTACGCATATCGTTCCGGTGTTATGTTATACATAAACTTAAGTAAGAAGATTAAAGAGAGATATTTAATATCTTTGTACAGTAAATAAAATCATCCACTCTTGATCTGAAGCTTAAAGGCACAGGGGCAAATTGGTGATTCTGAGCCTGCTTAGCCCAGAAGTGTTGGTTATTCTGGTAGTCTGAAAAAATAAATAAATAAATAAAAATAAGACATTTAAAGGTTTCCCCTTAAAATTGATGCTAGGAAGCAAGTATTTCACAAGAGGTGATCTGTAAATCCTTGTACATTTGTTTTATTAAAATAGTGATTAATTTGCTGCATTTCTTTAAGGATTGTTTTCTATTCTCTTCATCAAAAATCCAATTTAGTGTATTCACAACTGCAAGAATGAGAAATTAGTTGACCTTTCTTAAAACACTTAATGCTTTTAGTACGTTTATTCATGTGTAAATCCTTAAAATGCGATTGCACGTGGCTCAAAATAGGCTGTGAGCCACACCCTGTTCAAATAAAGTCCTTAGGCTCTACTTACAAGGCCATCAGCCTAGACAGGGAACGCATCTTTATGTTGTTTAAGTGTTGAAGCTTGGCATTGTATTTTAAACCTTTCTTCCCATAATGATCAACCAAGCATCATACATATACAGTGAGGAAAATAAGTATTTGCACACCCTGCTATTTTGCATCCAGAAATCACAATGTATGATTTTTTTTAACAATTTATCTGTATGATACAGCTGCAAGTATTTAAACACCTGAGAAAATCAATGTTAATATGTGGTACAGTAGAGTTGGTTTGAAATCGCAGAGGTCAAACATTTCCTGTAGTTTTTCCAAAGGCTTGCACATGCTGCAGGAGGGACTTTGACCCACTCCTCCACACAGGTCTTCGCTAGATCAGTCAGGTTTTGCTGTCGCTGAGAAGCACAGAGTTTGAGTTCCCTCGAAAGACTCTCTATTGGGTTTAGGTCTAGAGACTGGCTAAGCCATAGCAGAAGCTTTATATGCTTCTCCCAGAGCCACTCCTTGGTTATCCTGGCTGTGTGCTTCTGGTCATTGTAATGCAGAGATGGGAAGTAACGAAGTACAAATACTTCGTTACTGTACTCAAGTAGATTTTTCTGATATTTTTACTTTACTTTACTACTTATTTTTATGGCAACTTTTTACTTCTACTCCTTACATTTTTACACAAATATCTGTACTTTCTACTCCTTACATTTTGAAAAATTGGCTCGTTACTTTAGTTCTGAATCATTTCAATGGAGTTACCGTTAGTATTTTTCACGTCATCAATACCAAATTCAATCTAATTGGTTGGGAATCTACGTTGCATTTAACGCACCACTACAAGATGAATCGACAGATTCGGCGGTATTCATTTGCGGCAAATCATTGCAGCTTGGTGGCAGTGGCGTTAGCATAGTAGTATGGACGACGAGATGATTGAAAATGAACACAACGGAGATCTAGTCCTATTGGCAGACATCCATTTAAAATGTAGGCAACGGCATGAAAAAAGTGGTTTCTACTTTTACTTTTATACTTTAAGTAAATTTACAAGCCTGTACTTTGTTACTTTTACTTGAGTAAAGAAGTTTAATCAGTACTTCCACTTTTACCAGAGTATTTTTTAAGAGTATCTGTACTTTTACTCAAGTACGGAAAGTGAGTACTTTTGCCATCTCTGTTGTAATGTTGGAAGACTCAGCCTCGCCCCATCTTCAATGCTCTAATGGAGGGAAGGGGGTTGTTACCTAAAATCTTGCAATACAGTACATGACCCTGGTCATCCTCTCCTTAATACAGTGCATTCGCCCTGTCCCATCTACAGAAAAACACCCCCAAAGCATGATGCTACCACCCCCATGCTACACTGTAGGGATGGTGTTGTTGGGATGGTCCTCATCATTCTTCCTTCTCCAAACACGGTTAGTGGAAACATGACCAAAACATTCTATTTTGGTCTCATCTGATGACATGACTTTCTCCCATGACTCCTCTGGATCCTCCAAATGGGCATTGGCAAACTTAAGATGGGCCTTGTGCTGGTTTGAGCAGCAGAACCTTCCGCGCTATGCATGATTTCAAAGTAGTGTATTACTCAGAGTAACCTTGGAATTGGTGGTCCCAGCTCTTTTCACCTCATTGACCAGCTCCTCCTGTGTATCTCTTGGCTGATTTCTGAACTTTCTTGGGATCATTGAGACCCCACAAGCTAAGATCTTACATGGAGTGCCAGTCTGAGGGAGATTGACAGGTGATGTTTAGCTTCTTCCATTTTCTAATGATTCTTCCAACAGTGGACCTTTTTTCACCAAGCTGCTTGGCAATTTCCCCGTAGCCCTTTCCAGCCTTGTGGAGTATTACGATTTTGTCTCTAGGGTATTTGGACAGCCCTTTAGTTTTGGCCATGTTAGTAGTTGGATTCTTACTGATTTGATGGGGTGGACAGGCTCTTTATGCAGCTAACAACCTCAAACATGCTCCTAATTTAGGATAGTAAATGGAGGGGAGGTGGACATTTTGAAGGCAGACGAACACGACTTTGAGGGTCAGAATTCTAGCTGATAGACAGGTGTTCAACTACTTCTTTGCAGCTATGTTATACGAATAAATAGATAAAAAATCATATTTTGGGATTTTTTTTTTGTAGCTTATGTCTCTAACAGTGGACATGCACCTATAGTACTATGATAATTTCAGACCCCTCCATGATTTCTAAGTGGGAAAACTTTCAAAATAGCAGGGTGTTCATATACTTATTTTCCTCATTTCCCAAATAACGTGTTTTACTTGACCATCTCACCACGGAATGCTTCTACTGTGCACCTAATTTGCCAAATGTATGCAATGTGCATCTTTTAATGCAGACTACAGTAGAATTGAAAGCATGGACCACATTAATCGGTTGAGTCTAGATCATGTAAGACTGTAATTTATTCATTAATTTAGTCTCAGTACAGACACAAAGAACATAAATAAATAAAAGTGTCATAAAACTATATGCGATAAAAAATAAAATAAAATAAAAAACTATGAACATTTTCACCTGTATCTGTTTGTCAGAACTATTAAAAGATGTTAAAGCTTTACATTTCTCAATTCAAAATCATGTACTGTTAATAATCATTATAAAGCTATAAGAAGACTTATAGATGTACACAAAAAAATTAAATTTTTAGATCTCTGTGAGAACCATCTTGCTCTTGAAGGCCCCCTGCTGGCCAGGAGGTCATAAGTAGGGGCTAACTTTGCTCGTGTCCTGGGGCCTCTTTCCATTCTGGTGTCAGACTCTGCATTCCAGTTGTCTAATGTCTCATTTTAAAGCATGCTTGTCTAATGGACTTTATAAAGACAGGACATTAATGGAACATGAATAGAAAAAGCGGACAGATTCCAAATAAACACTTTGAAAGCCTTGGGGAACTGTTATCTGAAACAGATGGCGCAAACAAAGTATAATGAAAAAAGGAATAATATCCGGTTATACTGAAGGCTGTCTGATACTGCATTATCAGATTTATGAAAGCTGTCTTCCTCTGTTAAGGTGTTGGAAAATAGATATTTTCTTAATGTGTGTTTAAAAAGGAAGTAAATGTTATAATGTGAGACCAAAGTTGATTCTGTTGAGTAGAATCTTAATTTTTAAGCCTTTTTTTTCAAGAGTCATTGTACTGTTAGACTAGAGATTAAGATAGGGCTCATGTTCTCACCTTAAACTGTTATTTAGATTGAAATGCAGTAGCAGATAGAAAGTCATCTTTATGCATTACATCTTCCTTATGCCATCGATGTACCATAGTGCCTCCACAGCGTCTCTGTAGACTTGGTATCTCATCTCATTTTGGTTCTGTTCAAAAATAAAATTGATTGCTCCTTCCAACTCTTAAGGGATCTGTATAGAATAGCTGTGTAACCTTCTGGGAGCTGAAGGAGGAGGAAGGGACATCTCAGTCAGTTTCGTTCCAGTACATCTCCTTCACAGCAACTGTGTATATCCCACACTTTCTCACTCAGTTAATCTCTTCCTTTTCCAACCAGGTCCGCAGCACCATTGAGAACAGCTTTGTGGGTTGGGAGCTAGAAGAAGTCATCCTGCTGGACATGTCAGTGGACGATGGCGATTCAAAAATACAGAATCAGATGAAGAAACTGCAGAGTCCTGTCATCCTGCTATACTGCACCAAGGAAGAGGCAACCACTATTTTTGAAGTGGCCCACTCTGTCGGGCTGACAGGTTATGGCTACACCTGGATTGTACCTTCACTGGTGGCCGGTGATGCAGACCATGTTCCATCTGTCTTCCCTATAGGTATGCCAAGAATTATTCATTCATATCAGTACCATGTAATTGGACACTAGGAATGCAACATATGCAGCCAATGTACACTGTCAGGAATCCATTCATTGATTCAGCAAGAAGAGCCTTGTAGAAGTATTCACGCCCCTTGGACCTTCTCATCTTTTTCTAAAGTAACATAACTAAATGTAAATGCAGAAGTGCATTTGTGAGGTGAAAACAAATTGATACATGGCTCTAATTTTTTTTTCATTTAAAAAAGAAAATACAATTTAAAAAGCATTGGGTTACTTTTGTATATAGCAGTTTATCAATGTAGTGGCAATTCACAACACGTCATCTCAAGGCACTTTACGGAGACAATTCAATCAGATTATATACTCAGACTGGTCAAACGTTTTATATCTACGGAACCAACTGATTGTATTGAGTTATTGACTTTCAAGGACATGTAGCGACAAAGGAGAGGAAAAACTACCTTTTAAAAGAAAAAACATTTTCAGCAGAACCAGGCTCAGGCTCATTTGTCTGAAATAGCCAATAGTAGAATAGAGAGAATGTAGCAGAATGATAAAAAGTGGTCCATATGTCCTCCAGCAGTCTAAGCATATAGCGGCATAACCATAGAGATACCTCAGGATAACCTGAGCCACTCTAACTATAAGCTTTAACAAAAAGGAAAGTTTTAAGCCTAGCCTTAAAAGTAGACAGGGTGTCTGCCTCACAGACTAAAACTGGTAGTTGGTTCCACAGGAGAGAAGCCTGATAACTAAAAGATCTGCCTCCCATTCTACTTTTAAAAATTCTAGGAACCACTAGTGAACCTGCAGATTGAGAGTGAAGTGCTCTGTTAGATAGATAACGAACAATCATATCTCTGATATAAGATGGAGCTTGGCCATTTAAGGCTTTTTATGTGAGAAGGAGGATTTTAAATTCTATTCTGGATTTAACAGGAAGCCAATGAAGAGAAGCCAGGATAGGAGAGATGTGATCTTTCTTTGATCAGCGATTTGGATCAGCTGAAGGCTTTCAACTACAGTTTGTGGGCTCTGATAGTAAAGAATTACAATAGTCTGGCCTTGAAGTAACAAATGCATGGACTAGTTTCTCAGCATCACCCCTGGACAGGATATTTTTGGAAATGAAAGAAGGAAATTCTAGAAACCTCTTTGATGTGGGATTTAAATGACAGGTCCTGATCAAAAACAACACCAACTTTTTTTTATGTTATTTTATTATCTGAAATCAGTTTAATCCCATCCAAATGAAGTGTAATCAGCTTCTTTTTCAAAGACTCTGGTCCAAAGACTATAATTTCTGTTTTGTCTGCATTCAGGAATAGAAAGTTTAGAATCATCCATGTTTTTATGTCTTTTATGCTTGTAATCTATGTACTGGGTTACCTTCATCTGGACTTATAGACAGATATAGCTGAGAAGAATTCCTCCTGAAATCTGTCAGATAATAAAGATTTAAACCAGTCTAGAGCTGTTCCTTTAAATCCTACAAAATATTCAAGTCTTTCTAAAAGAATATTATGATCAACTGTATTAAATGCAGCACCGAGATCTAACAGGACAAGTACAGATACAAGTCCATTATCTGAGGCCATGAGAATATCTTTACTGCCTTTCACCTGAGCTGTTTCAGTGCTATGATGAGCTCTAAAGCCAAATTGAATCTCTTCAAAAGGTCATTATTGTTTAAGTGCTGACATACTTTTTAAGCAACTATTTTCTGAAGAGTTTTAGATAAGAAAAGAAGATTAGATATAGGTCTAATTGAAAAAGTCATTTAGATTCAGTGAAGGTTTCTTAAGTAAAGGTTTAATTTCAGCTACCTTAAACCTACCTTCTAAAGGACAATTTAACAGAGCTATGGCTCTGTGTGAGGTTGGAAACTATTAAAAAATAAATATCTTATTCTTATTTTCCATATTAATGAATTTAAATATTGTCTTTTTTTTTTTTTTTTTTTTACAAGGGCTCATTTATAAGCTGCAGACTGTTTTTCCAGATGAAACAGGATTTGTGTCGACAAGTAGAGCGGGGAGCATTATTCTTCAAAATAAAAGAATCTTTATTAAACCACATAGACAGCCTTCTATTAGTTAATGTATTCTTTTTTAAAGGGGAAAAGTATCGTAAAGCCACATGAGATGGAGCTCAGGTGTTGCATGATCCTAGTAGCTCTGTGTTAGAGCTGGTATATTGCCTCTTGGCATAACATTTCTCAGTTTCAAGCCAAACAAACAAACAAAACAAAAAAAAGAAAGCAAAATACAGGAGTACAACAGGTAAACTTTTTAGCATCGGTGCAGATTAACGGAATCAAGGGGGCTCTGAAGCTCTTACTAGCTTTACTATTAGAAGGCCTTGCAATCTGCTCGCAAAAAGTACAATACAGAATTGGAAGGAGAGCTGTCAGGGCTAGGGAGGCTTTAAGAGTTTCAGACAAAAAAAAAAAGCAAACCACAATGTTTAGATTTTATTTGTAAAACAAAAAGTAAAAACCGAGATTATTTGTATTTCAGATAAAATCCCAATTTATAACATTAGAGGTTGTGGTTTTTAGACTATGTGCTGCATAAGCTATTACAATACCGATTAGTTCCTGTCCCAAATGGACATCTCTTATTTGAGTTGTTACAGCCCACCCGTCGCTTCTAATGGAATTCAACTAAATGTCTCAATATTTTTTGTTTAGGAAATGTTTTAGGACTTAATAATTTCCAACAATAGATTTGTTTAATGAGCATTGCTGTTTTATTGTTGGCACAGTGGTCCATTTTTATGCTGAACCCCCAAATTAATAATTTTCTTTAACGTTTCCCCCTGGGGGTGGGGGGCGGGGGGGCAGTGTCAAAGTCTAGGCGGATGTTGTGGTTTTATAAGGTATACTAGGTGGATGATTCCTGAATTTCATTATCTCTCATCTATCATAGTAAGAATTTTATTTATTTATAAATTTGTAGTTTAGCTTCTGTATCAAAATGCCTTGACTTTATTTGCTGTGTAAGTCTTTACCTTCTGGGAATTTTTACCAGCTCTCTGGCTGTTTTTTTTTTTTTGCATCTTTGCTCCTCAGTCTAATATCGCTCCCCAGCCCCCATGTTTCCTTTTTCTCACCTCATCTCTTGTCCTTTATTTCTCTATCTCCTTCACTCTCTCTCCCAGGGCTCATCTCTGTGTCATATGACGAATGGGACTACAACATCGAGGCCAGGGTACGTGACGCAGTGGCTGTCATTGCCACGGCAACCTCGACCATGATGTTGGACCGAGGGCCACACACCCTGCTGAAGTCCAGCTGCCTCGGGACACCTGACAAAAAGGGATCCAGCACTGTCCACTCCAAGGAAATCTTGAAGTGAGTCTGTGTTCACATGGTGGAGTTAACGTGTAAAAACAGCTTGACCTGATTACTAAAGGCCAATACAGAATTATTCTAATTTCTAAAAGAAAAGAAAACAAATTTAGGTTTACAAGCATTTTACTTCAATATCAATTCAGTACTTTGTTTTTACTTAGATTTAATTGCTGAAAATATTATCTTATTCAGTGGTATGCCATGGCTGTTTTTCTATAGGCAAGATATAACAACAGGTACTTAACAGAAAAAAAATTTAATCAATGTTAAATCGCATCATGGGCCAAAGAATCAAAATAAAATTATTTTGTGAGGTTCCTAACATTACTCAGCCCTGGGTTGGATGTACTTATACAGACATTTAGCATTTCTTAAAACATCCTGACAAAATGTGGAACAAACAAAGACATGCCCAAAATAAATCCACCTGTGCTGAGCCAGAGGATCCAGCAGACTGTTAATGAAGACACACTCCTTGACCCAAATTAATACCCTTTCTGAGGCTGACTACAGCTTAGTAATTATAGCGCAGCCTCTGTGAGGGACATACTTAAAAAACAAACAATGTCTTCAAAGGCCACATCTCTGCCCAGGGCAACAAGCCATCCCTGTATGGACCTTGAAAAGCAATGGGGAAACATACGAGACTCAAAGGTTGATTTAACGTTCCAGATGACTTTCAACGTAACTTGAAGGGCAAAAAAAATCCCACCTTGTATCATTCAAGTAGAATTTTTCCAAATTAAGAGTGTAATAAATAAAATATACACTGGCTTTGATAATTGATCTTCAGATTGTACAAAGTTTTCATATGAACATATGGGGATGTGGCAACAGGACTCCCTCACGCTGGCGAGTCCTGGTTTATGTGTTCATCAACAGGAAAACATTGCAGTTAACAACATCCTTCAGAAAAAATACCTCTTTTGGACCATCCCACCTGTTCTCACGTGATTTAAATCTTATTTAATGTGTTTGAGTATGGATGGCAAAGAATAGTCACACAAGAGTCAGACAGACATTAGCTCCAGACTGTAGATGTTTGTTTTTCATGGAGCTACATGGAGGAATGTTTCCACAGACACTCACTGAAAACAGTCCAATAAGCCATTTTAAAATTATTCAAGAGCACTAATCAATACTGAGTCTTTTTTATGATTATAGCTCTGTTTTAGGTTTTCAAGGCTAATTGTGTTAAAGATGATGTTTATCTGCATAAACAATTATTTGATTGGCTAATATTTGGCAACAATTATTTAGTTGTGCTGAAGTTTGGGAAAATCTAATTAGCCAGTTTGTCCTGTCTTCATGGTTGAACAAGCTCCAAGGTCACGATAATGTAGGGTATGGATCAGGCCCAGAAAATTCAGCCCGACTCAAACTCAACTTTATCAAGGCCAACCAAAAAAAACACTTGAATTGTGGGCCTAAGGGCAAGCTAAACCTGTTGTGAATAAAAATTTTTATACTGATTCAGTCCATACTTTAGTAGTTCTCCACTGCCCTGCAAGGAACGCTCAGTTAAACCGCGCCCAGCAAGTGCACTGCACAGTGAGCACTGACCCATAGCTGGTCCAGAGTGCCAGGCAGGGCCACGTTTATCTGCACACTGCATGCTCTGCTCGTGTCTAGTTACCTGCTGAATTTCACTTCCTCCATTTTCACAAAAGAGTAGACAGCAAGTAAAATACTAGTCCTTGATTTTATAATACGTGTTACTACATCTTAAGGCTTATATCACATGAGACAGAGGAAAATAGTAATCTTAGAGCCTGACCTGAACTTGACCTGCACCTGACCCCCCTGTGTTAAATCAAAACCCAAACTTCAGGTCAGGCTCAGGTTAGAAAGTTTAGAAATACTCCATGCTAATGAGGTAATGAGAGGTCAAGTGTGCAAGTAGAGGTTTGATATCATGATTTAGTGTTAAAGATTGAAGCTCTATCCTTCCGGTTCTTTTCCCTGAAAAGAGATCACTTGGGACAAACTCTTTAAATACCAATTCATAACTTATATGTATTAAATAACCAGGAGACATGACAACAGATTCTGATAAAAATTGTAATCTTACTCAGATTACAGAAGTTGCTTAGAATTTACAGAATGGCAGCTGATCACCTCTCGGGAAGTGGCCCCGATAAACAGTTAAAAAGGCATTTCATACATCTCCAGTCTGCATCATCTTATTTTACATCATACGCCTTAGCAGATGAGTACACATCATGGCTCCAGCCTTATCAAAATATTACGCTTCATTTTTAGCTGAAGGGCACCGCTCTCATTCCAATACCAAATCTTTGCTGTGTACAGCATGAAGATTATAACTGTATATCCAGCTGTTTTATTTAAGAAATATAAATTTACCTCTCCATCCAATGCTTTCCAGGTCATATGTTTTTATAGTCTATATTAATACATATACTTTTCAGTTGAAAATACTTTTGTTAAAAATATATATATTCTACTATTTTCTCTTCTTCAAACTACAGAAGATCCAAAACAAAAAAAGCTCCAGCATTTAACATTTAGCGATTTCTGCAATTTTTAGTTTCTTTGCTTTTATGGCATGTTTGAGTTAAGTTAAACAGTTGGTTCAGGCGTAAATAATATCACCTCCAGGTTTAGTCATAAATTTTAGTAAGATGTTTAGAGCATTATTACTTCTATGAAAACCAATAACATTTTGGATTCTGAATCCTGATATGAATCTGATGGAGAATTTGTGGATGTAGCTAAAGATTAGAGTAAAGGTCAAGAGGCCATGATAAATACAGTAACCTAAATACCAAGGGTTTGAGGTTTGTATTGCAAATAGATATTTTTTTATATGATTACTTAGCAAGATTTGAATAATTCTGACATGATATTTTAAAATAGAACATGAAAAAAAAAAATGTATTTCTTTAATTTGATGCTTAAATGTTTTTGTCCTTTTTGCCTCTAGACATGTTTTTTGTCATTTCTTGTCAAACTTGAAAAAAAAATCATTTAAATAAAAAAAGGGGTAAATCTAGATCTCCCAGTAGTAATTTTGGGCTTAATTGAATGAGATAAATGCAGGATGTATGTGGCCCAAAAATTTAATTTTTGGTCCTTTGACTCTTTTTTGCTTGTTTTGTCTCTTACTACCTCTCCTTCCTTTTTTCACATCATTTAATGTGATTGTAGTAGTTATGGTGAAGTGCTGCCCTTGCCGGCATGGATTTTTAGCACTTGCTTAATGGACTCTCCCTTCCTTAAGTTATACACTCTCGTTCACTTCGATGAGCTCTTAAGGGTGACTGGTTTTGTCACCAGAGACACATCATTAATAGAATTAAGAGTTTAGTTTAAAAGTTTAGTTTTAACTTTGAAAGGCTCTCTTGAAAACAGGTTGGAATGACTTTTATGTAGGGTTAGGACAGCTTTTAAAGATCCATCACATCTTTTGTCAATTTAACAACAGCTATTAGAGTTCAGACTGATGAAGACATATATATTAATACAAAAGAAGAAATATATGTTAGACTATTGCTTCAATCAAAATCTAGTGTGGCAGAGGTGGTGTGTTAACACATTCTTCTCTTATTGCAGGGGATACACAACTACAGGTTCTTGTCCAGTCGTAAGACATTAACTAATTACAGATTCAGTTTCAGATTCATGACATGGCATTTATCTAAAATTTGTATACCTTTTAACCGGGGTATTATATTACCTTACACTTTTGGCCCACTGGCCACTGGGGCTATTGGATTTCCAAATTTACATGCCACTCAGCATTTTCAGCAGCCACAATTTTGTGGTTAGAAAATTAGGTTTCATGTAATTAAAACTGAAGTTTACTTAAACTAGATTTACAGTTTTTGAAAATGTGAATGACCATTGTAAATACTCGTCAAACTACATGAAATGTTTGACACTACCGGCCATTATGAAGTATTCAACTCTGATATATTTTTCCCTTTGTAAAAAAAAAAAAAAACAAGACGCGGGAGATGTAATAACCTTGAGTCACATTTAGATTTACTCATTATTTATGATTACGTGTGGGCAAAAGCTACAATTAAAATAGTTAATAGAATGCAACCCGCCAAAGTTGGCAGTAGGAGTGACTGTCCTACCTGTCCCAGTTGAAATTTAACAAATTTAACTGTTAAACTAGGTATAGTGCCAATCCCTATCCACTAGTTTATTTCAATAGCAGTTTTTCAAAGGTAAGGGCTGTGCCTCAAGGAAGTTGTCTTGGGCTGCTCCTTAACACAATCTTTACAAACGATCTTCCATCTGTTTTAGATAAAGCAAGCATCTCAATGTTTGCAGGTGGTTCTACTATATATTTAGCAGAAACTAATATTAGTGAGTTAAATACAAAACTACAAAGAGAGCTACAGTTAGTGGTGGACTGGATAAGGAGCAACAAACTGGTTGTCAATGTATCTAAAACTACCTGTTTAGTGGTTGGAACCCCTTTTTCTCTACTTTCCAAACCGAAACTTGAACTCAGCATAGAGAAAAATCATGTTGATCACAGAGAAGAGGCTAAACTTTTGGTAGTGATAATTGATAATAGATTGTGTACGGACAGACATGTTCACTTTAAACACAATTTAACACTGAAATAAAATGAGGTGTTTATGCATCCATGTTATACATTGACCTTTTAAATAATAAAAAAAAAAAATCTAAAGTGTTTTTTTTAAAAGTAGAGAACAAAAATTGTTCAGTGTAATATATAGACAATTTCCTGATTCACATACTTTATAAATAACCTGAACTGACCTTTTTTTTTTTTTTTTCTTAATGAGAGCAGTGGGCTTTAGGCTGACCTGTAAGGCTTTAAACTAGGCTTTCAATGGCGACAAAGCCATTCTGAAGCACATATCAAGGTGCTGGATCCATATTTATTTTTGATTATGTTCATGGTGGAGAATCATGCTTCACAGCAGCAGATTGAGCCAAACATACTCATAATGTGCAGGGTCATCTTTGAACACCATTTCACTTTTCTATCACCAGTT